AACACTCTTTAGTACCACAGAATGACTGCATGCTTCAGCACGGATTTCTCTGCTAGTTGGATCCCAGGAGGCCTTATTGAGTGCAATGCTGCTCAGGGAGTTGCAGCTGTATAAAGTGTGCGGGGGAAAATGTAGTTTGTTGGAATTGTTCTTTACCTTGGTTTGGGTTCGGTATGGCAGCTGCACTCCGACTTTGTGTGTGACAGCACAAAGGACAGCAAAAGTGAAAAGCAAGTCAGCAAGTAGAGAGACAAAAGCAACGATCAGCTAATACAGCTCCACATGGCCTAACTAATTTATGAGAAAAAAACTGTTCTGTTCATTGGATCAGCACTCTGAGGAGGCAGGTGGAATTGTAGGAAGTTTTCATTGAGTCTCTGGAGCAACTAAGGAAGTCACTAGAGATTCTTCTCAGTTTGAACTTTATCAGGGTCTACGCTTAATCAATATGGTATTGGAAAAAGAATTAATTACTAAAGCAGAATAAAACAGCTGCATTTTAAACTAAGGATCCATCAATTCAGTAATCTTCCAGTTACAGGCTAGGTGCCGTGAGGATCATTTTGACTTCATGTAATGAGGAACTGAGGGAGTTTCCTCATGAACAGGCTGGGAATTCACATTAGCCTATTTCAGCTATTTGTCATCAGTACAACTCATTTCTCCTGTTCTGAATTACAATTTGTATTTGATATACTGTCAAACCCACAAAATTCCCATATTCATGGAACTGAAAGCATTAATGTGGAAATCATTGTCACCATGAGAAAAAGTCTTAACCTTCCTGAGACTCTTTATTCTCTAGGTTGCGGCTCGAGTGGTTTCATGCCGGACATACCTCTATTGTGTTCATTGTGAGGGTCAGGGACCTGCCTGTTGAAGAAGCAGTAATTTGAACACAGCCTGTAAATGTTTCATCTGTAATTTCCATAATGGTGAATTTCAAGGAGGGCTGAGAAGGGTTATGGGAGATGAATTAGGTTTTTAGTGAGCTCATTAGGAAGCCAAACAGAGTTTAGACAGCAAGGCGGTGAGTGTGGCTGTAATCAGTTCTGCTCGCTTTGTTCCCTGCCTTCGGGACATTTTTTGAAAACTTCATGGCAGGAGCTGATGAGAATATACTGAGCAGAGGCTGCAATCTGATGGTTGACTTGTTGATTTGTAAACCTCTTAATTCATTTTTTGTTCAATTTAATCTTTTCTTTCTTAAGGAAAATTAGTTGAATGTTAGCCCTCTTTGCACTATTCACCTCTTAAATTATGCTCATTTTGAGGAGCTTGTTATGCCTGAATAAACATGAAATGACTTGGCATTTTCCCATAAGAGGCACACCCATTTTAATACCATGTATTTACCATTCCTGGAAATGTCTCATTAACTTCTGAAAATCTGTGAGCATGATATTTTTGGGCTACTGTAACACACCTCTTGGCAGTCACAGAAGGCAGTTTGGTTAATGCCTCATAATATCCATTTTTATTCTCAACATGAAGAAAGGCTCTCTATAGAAAATTGATGCAGTTTGCTCTGCTAATTTTCATGCTCATTCCAATTAATTTAACATGACCCAGATTTTCTTCCTCGGGCTCATCCTGACTAATTAGTAAGGCAACACCTAGAACAAGTTCTGTTTAATAACATTGAGGAACGCTAGTTGTGAGTGATTTTGATGCTAATAAAGATATTCACTGATGGGACAGATATTTGATGTCAATTACAGTATGTAATTTAGAAGTCCCAATGTGCTGGATAGAGCATAGGAAGGCTGGCAAATCACTGTGGGAGATAATTTTTTTTCTTTTTGTTAAAAAGACTTCCAAAGCACCTAGCTATCCTTAGGGACCAATTAGTTTTTTTTTTTGGTACAACTAGTAGTATTGTCAACTAATTCCACAGTAATAGATGGGGTGGTGCTGCTAAGGATGTACAATCTGTGAACCATCAACAACCAGGGCCAGGCTTTTGTAATTTACTGAACCTTTATCACAAATGGGAAAAGCCACCATAGGTACTAGAGAGTAGCACAGTTGAGGAGAAAAGGATGTCCTGCTCATCTTCTTTATATAACTTCTCTTTCCTTGCTGTTGTCCAGGTGAATCTATTTTGCAAGAAATTAACAGGGTTGAAAAGGTGGCCTCGTTAGGTGCTTCATAATTGAATTGTGAACGCTGGTGTTCGTTTTGGAAAATCGGTCCCAGACCTGCACTCCATGTGATAATTCTTTCCTGCTCTCCAAGAGCCAGGGATAGGTTCTCTCCATCCAAATGTGCAGGGCTGGCACTCATTTTAGCATCCTTGCTGCAGAGACACAGCACAGGCAGGTCCCGGTCCCTCAGAGCACTTCTTCCTGGGAAAACTGGCTTGCTCTGTGTGTGCCATCCCCGAAAACAGAAATGCAGCATGTGCAGCAGGTGAAGTGAGGTCCAGAAAGTGTTTTGTCATAGAGTTCATCAGAGGTAGAAACAGGAAATGCCAAATCTTAGTGTTTCACTTTGTCTCTCAGAACAAATTCCCACATATACCACAGGAAGATAAAGACTGGATGACAGTACTGTTCATACTTGATGGTTTCGATCAGTCAAAAATACGAACAACTGTGTGGTCTCTTTACCGAAATTGCAGTGCTAAGACTTCATTTTGCTCCTAGTAACATGAATTGAAATAGTGCTATTTAGCTGAAGGAGAAAAGAAATAAGATGTCCTTGTACATCTATTTTGATCACAAGTACTTATGTCCAAGAACCTGCCTTCTAACAGAGTATTTCAGGATGTTCTCTTTTTGATACGCATTTAGAAATGAAGAATTAGTAAAAATAATAGCCATGCTCAGACTTGAAAAAATGTGATGCTCAAATGAACACAGGGGTGCATTGGCATGTTTGTCTTTAAAAGCGGTAATATATAGTATTCACTTATCTGAGAGCCACCACCAATTACTATCAAAAGGAATATTAAGTATTACTTTCACGGAGGTTTTCATTGAAAGTTTGTTCCTTGCTTATTTGAGCAGTTTCAAAAACCCTTTCCCTAAAGTTTTCTGAAGATCAGTTTCTGAGCCAATAACAGAGAAAGGGGAATAGAGTATCTTGTGTTAGATAATGCTCCCATGCTATTAGCATCTCAATTCTTACATGCTGTATAAATCTCTAGTAAGTTTTAAAAGCTGACATAGTAAAACACAGGTAAAAATATCTTAACTATAAAATTTCAAGGGGGGTTAATGTCTTTGATGCAAATCTTTATCACTGAAATCCTATTTGCTTTCTTTTTTGTTTTGAGTACCGAGCCCTCTCACTGGTATCATTTCACCAAGTTTTTAAGAAGAGGGGGAGAAGGAGAGAGAGATCGAGAAACTGTGTGAAGTTTCTTCTAATGCATAATGCATTTAAACACTGTAGTTTCTGGATTGATGCCACTAACCAGCTCAGAAATTATTCCTGTTTCCTCCTTACAGACTTGCAGTAAGGAGTCAGAGATGACCATGTCTATAGTCATTCCTAGCTGGTGTCAGAACATGACAGTTCTGTCGTTCTGGGTCAGTGGCGAATAACTCACTCAAATGGTGCAAAGTCAGCCAGTTCTTAATTTTTTATCTCCTTAAGAGTGCGTTCAGTGACTTTATCACTGAGAAGAATGACTCCCCTGCCTAGTGTGATCAAGATCTGGAAATTTGTTGCATCAGCACATTTAGCCTGGGCTGCTACTTGATTGGTGGGGCTTATGTTTGATCTTATGGCAGATGGGTCAGCTCTCTGGCCAGGAGAATCTAGGTCCAGAGGGAAACTCAGTTTTCCCCATCTGAACCTGAAGAAAGGGAAGTCTCATAACTGGCCAGGTTTTTCATTTGGGGTCCCTACACAGAGCCAACCCTATCTTCTCTGAAGCAGGGGAGAAGGGTCATGGAAGTTCTCTGGAGTCCAATTTGTGAGGTTCTTAGAAAAAGCTCAGGGATACAAACCAGTCTAGGAAGACTTTGTAGACACTGCGTATTTGTGTTTTGTAATATTTTCTGCTACGATAAAAGACTTGAAATGAAATTACAGGTTATGAGCAAAAAGGCAAAACATCAAGTGTCACAGTTTGTGCTGTGAACTTTTAAGCAAGTAATGTTACAAGTCAGTACCCTGTGGTTTTGCTATTTTTATGCTTCCTTATTTTTGAAATCCAATTCATCAAAACATTTGTCAAAAACTTTCGCCCCTGTTTCTACAAAATTATGTGTATGTCAGTTCTTTTAATCATTTAAGGCAATCCAAAGCATCTTATGGGACAGTTTGGCTACAGAGAGAGGAGGCCGTGGCCATCCCATTTTTTCACTTGTTTTTTAATCATATTATCCTGAAACAAATCGGTAAAATTATATGATGGAAGAAAATAAGTGGCTTGTCTGCCTTTCTGATATCATAAAAGTCTCTTTATTTTTTTCTTTTTTTTTTTTTCAACCAGCTGGAATTTTCTGACCAGAATTCATGACTGTATGCTTGCTGCTTCTTCCAATTTGAGGCATTTGGATATTCTTAACTCTATCTTCTCTCATGGCTGAAGCCAGACTCTAAGAAACTGGCAGGGACTAACTAGGGGCTTCAGCTTTCATATGCTTGCTCTTTTAATCTGTCTACTGTACTTGAAAGACAAAACATTTCAGGCTTTTTCCACTTTTAAACATCCAATATTTATAGCACATAAGTCATAGATGGTTTACACTTTACCTTTACAAGGCTTCTTGGAGAAAAAGACTTCTGAAAAATGATACCCTTGAAAATAAATATGGACAGGTCCAAAGCACGCAGTTGTAGTCTGGAACATGATTCACCAGTGGGAGTGAGCACTTGATTGAATCCTTAGTTTTGAGCACCAAATAGCGTAACACTTATAAACAGTATTAGCTATGTTTCCAAATACCTAGCACACTATATTTAAAGTACAGGCTTTAACTTAAACCTACAAGAGCAGACTGTCAGTGTTCCCACATAACCCTTCACATTCTGGCATTTTCCAGACTGCCAGCCAAATGAACACTTTAGGAGGAGGTGCATATATATGTCTGCAGCACCCAGCGGGTTAATCCACCCCACTGTGCATAGGTGTTGGAGCTCTTATGGTATGTAAGACTTGCCAAGTTTGGAGTTGTTTTGTATTTTTTAATTTTTTTCTGAACTATGCATTCACAGCAAACATCTCTTCTTATGCTGTTCAAGTGCTTGTGAATGCATATCAAGACAGTACTCTTATTTGTGTTTTATGTAACATACACATTTGTGTATATTTTATCACCTGAAAAAGCTTTTATGCTTCATTTTGACACTTTTCTATTGAAACATCTTTATTTTGTGCATTCAGACATCCGCCATTTTTTCTTTAATGTATCTTAAAATAGAGCAATGTGCATTTTGGGCTTGTGGCCTAACAAATGTCCTTTTCAAAAACTGAAGCTTTTAACTTAGTATCTCTCAGGAATAACTGTCTGTTACCTTTCTAGTCCTAACTCTTTTTTTTAATTACTTTTTGGAAATGATGAAAAAATCCTATGCATGTGTACTTGTATGTCATATTTCAACTGGTGCTTTTTTAATAGGTAAATAACCCTTCAAAGAGAGGTTTCTAATGTGGACAGTACATGGACTCTTTCTGTGTTAGTGGGCATCATTTTAAGGGCTGTCTCCTGAACAAGCTGCTGTGTCCAACAGCATGTGGTCTAAGGGGAGCTGCAAGACATTAAAATATCTCACAGTTCATAACTGCTTTTAACAGCTGTAAGGAAAATTGAGATGCTCTGATGGCTATTTTCCTTTGAAAAAAAAAGTCACTTTTATTCTTAAAAGGAACTACGTTAATGATTTAATGAAGAAGAACAGTACAGGATGTTAGCAGCCATCTACTTTTAAGTTCTCTACGTTCTGCTATATATAAACAACTGCAAAATGTTAAAGGTTAAGTATTGATGAGGTACAATTGAGCTAAATTACTTAACTTCAATTGCAGGTAGAATTTTAATTGAACTTTGCTATTTTGCCCACATTTGATACTACTGTAAGGACAAAAATAAAAGGATAACAAATAAGAAATGGTACTTTAAATACAATATAGTTTTTTTAATGTATACTTACTTTTGTACAGTTGATTGAGAAAACTAAAAACTTTATCCCGGAACTATAAAAAGGAAAATAATCTCTTAGAGGAGATGTGCTTTTGAAAAAAAAACAACCAATTTTTTTTTTGTCTGCTGATTTCTTTAATGACTTGTTATTGTTGCCCCAGCTGTAGCCAGTCTGCAGCTGGTATTCTTAACAGAATTACTATGAGAATACTAAAAATACTTCTCTAAAAATATATTAAAAAAGTGATTTAAAAAGAATTCTGTTAGACTGCAGCACAAGGACACTTTCTGTGACAGTGTTTAATAGAATGAAAAATTTAAATACAATAACAGCTATTTACATTCACACTGCAAAATAGTTACCAAAGCATATAAAATACTTAAACCTATTTTAATAATGCCTTTCTTCAGCCTAGATACCAAAAAATGGGAGTTAACTTCCCAACTTGTGCTGAGGTGGGGAGGGTGGGAATTGAAGTTAAAACCATGTAGAAACAAGTGCATTGAGCACTTTCCTGTTGAGGTACAAAGTGAGTTTCAGTTTTAAATAGAAGACCATAATGAATCAGCATAAACCACAAGTTTTAATGAGTGTATCTGCTATGGAATTGTGCATTGCTTGCAATTCTCTTTGAACAAGACAAGGATCTGGTCTTACACTCTTTACTCAGGCAAAACTGCCACTGACATTCATGATAATTTTACTTGAATAGAACAAGTGCTTGATAGTGGTTGTGCCAGCATGAGGGGTGTGAGATTAAGATAAATGTGCAAAAAATACAACTTCAAATGGCTGTACCTTTGACTTCTCAGGCTAGCGTTTCCTCCAACTACAAGGATGTTAATTATAACATTTGCTGGTTCAAAGATTAACATTTAGCATTCTGGGAAAGACTTTCTGGACTTTAGTAACCTGATCAGCATGGTCTCCTTTTGGTCTCTGCCTCTTTCTGGTTCTTTGTATTTCGGGAGAGATGATAGTATCTGGCACATTCCTCGGATGACTCAAAGATAGCAGCCTTCTGTGTTTGGGGCTGAAAGATTGTGAACTCTTGTGTTAGCAGAAATGCCACACAGGGGAGGTGAATAGAACATTAGAAAAGCTTTAGATTTAGGTACTGCAGCGCAAGCAGAGTTGAATTTGAGAGCTGGGACTTAAGTGGACATTTGTCCCTGCTTTCTTCCTTAATAAAATCTGAGTGTTGACTGTGGGTAAGGGCATTTGAGAGATCACTAAAAATGAATAATTGAGTGCCCAGAAGAGCTTTATTATGATATACTATGGAGAACTTTAGAATATACCTAGTACTTTGTAAGTGCTTATTAGATGCATGCAGGAGTTACTATTATGGAAGTGAATTGTTTTGCTGTAGAAGCAAAATAATTTGCCAAATTAAAACGTCAAAATAAAACTCATCAAAAATCTGGATCTGTGTGGTCCTTTCTGGCCCTGTGCTCCCATCCAATTTTCTCTTGCCCAATGAAAAGCTATTGAGCAAAAAATCACAAGCTTCAAACAGCAACATTTGTTGTGCTTGTGTATGTTATCCATTTGAAAACCCTGACACAAATACTAAATCTGGGGGAAAAAAATCTCAGTGCAGAAATCCTGACTGACCAAATTGATTTAAAAAAGATATTACTAAATTTTAAAAGTCCCCAGACTGATATCAGGTTGTAGTGCTGACTTCTTGTAAGTAGAGCCATGAGAGGTCGCCCATTTCAGTTTGTTTGCCCCAGCAGCAACTAGATGGAATGAATTATCCTGCTCCCTAAATTCTGTATGGATGTTGCCACTGCCCAGTTAACCAGTGTGAAAATACCATGAAAAATAAATTATTAAACTATACTCTTACTACTAACTTGCCAGCTCCAGAGAAACAAATGCAGCCACATTTACATATGTGTCCATCTGTCTGTTTTTACACTTTATGTCTTCAACCAGTGGGTGAAATTGTTTTAATCCAAGCTGCAGCATGATTTTTTTTAATTTTTTTTTCCCCTGCTGATATTTCTCTATATGCGTATGTTATTTGTAGATGGACATGCATATTCTTGACAGTAGCTAGTTCTTAATTGCCCTTTTAAGTAACCTAATCTATCTGGCCACGGTAGTTTTAACTGAAGTAAGTAGCAGAGTTCTCCATGGATAATTTTCGTTAGTTAGCAGATTGTTACCATCTCAATGTTGCTGAAATCCCTAATCTCAGGTCAGCGTGAAGCTGCAGTGGTTACAATCCTGTTGCCTGATGCAGTGTGAATGGAAGTGCTTTCTGTCAGAAACATGTGGTCTCTTCAGTGGAGAGCCTGCGTAAATCCTGTGTAAATAGAGGGAGGCTAACAAAGGATGAGCCCCTGCAGCTCAGAGCATTTGGAGCCATTTGGAGGCTGAATTTGCTAAATGCTGCTTATACCGCCTGAAAAGTTGAAGAGAAAGGAGCATAAAATCCCTTCTTTTTTCTCTTTCTGCTGCTACCCTGGGGGGAGGGAGTTAAGGGCCAGGGAAGCCTGAGGTAAGCCTATGAAGACTGTTTTTTCAGTGCTCTTTTGAGTGTGAAAAAGGTGGCATGGGTCACTGTCCTCTCTTTAATGTCAGAAAACCCACACAGTTAGTAAATGTTGCATGTAAACTAAAGCATTTCGTCCCTTCTCCTGCACTCTACAGCACTGGGCCATGAACTAGTCACTTGAAAATCGCAGAAAAATTTCACTTCAACATGTCTGGACAGTTTAGCACAGCAGGAACGTAAGAGAGATCAGTAATTAGCAGGTTGCTTTACTGTTGTTCTCCTTGTCTGCATTGGAATACTTTTTTCACCTGATGTGAAAAAATGTCGGATTGCAATGAACGAATCATGAACCTTCGGGCTATATAAAAGACCTTAACATTTAAGCTGCTGTTTATTATTTTTGTCTTAAAAAAACTAGAAAAATACATTTTTGGCTTTTGGTAGAATCTCTAAGGTTTCTCAATTCACTTCACAAATGAACATGAGCTCTAAACACAGACAATTCAGGACGCAAAAAAGCCAGTCTTTTTTCTTAATTTTGGGCTGAAAAATATAAAAGGGGAAATGTGAAACTTAACAGTTTTGCAAACAGATTTGAGAGCCTTAGGTCACTGATTTTATAGCATGCATGGCTATAATAACAGAGCTAGAATGTAATTCCATAGCTGTAAATGCTTTTTTGCAAATGAGATATATTGATGATTGTATAGAGGTGCCTATCCAGAAATAGAAAAGGAACAGTTTTTATTCTGCCTCTTTTTGTAAATACACTTTATAGACAAGATACCATGCAACTCTTTAAGCCTTTAGGACATATTGTGAGATGGCAATAGGGACTTGCTCCTGACTGACAAACTATGCAAAGATGTAATTAGATCATGTGGAATGGCTTTGTAGGTGAGGTCTGATAGTGGCTTAGGTTTTCCTCCTATTTGAATTTTCAATAGTTATCCATGCCTTGTGTGAAATTTGTACATGTCATCTTTACAGTGGAATTACTGGGTTTTATCCTGGACAGCAAAAGATCATAAAGAATAGCAAGAGAGAAGCCCAGCTCTTTGTCTCCTTACTGCTTCTAGAAGGGCAAAAGAATAACATTTTCTGTAGTAAGAGAGATGGTAGTGCTGTATATCTGAAGTCTTCCTATTCCCTCTAGTGCACCAGTGTCCAACCTGTCTTTCTCTCCAAGATGCTCACTGAGACATAGAACAGAGCACCATAAGATATGTGCCTGGTGTCTCAGAGACACAAAAAGGGGAGGGAACACAGTGGTCTGATTACAGCAGCTCACTTGAGGATACTCCACGCCAGGAAGTGGTGGCTAAGCATGCCTGTCAGGCTTGAACAGCTTCTGATGTCTCCTTTCCTCCAGCAGTAAAGTAATTTAGCAAAACCAGCACGCATACTGGCAGAACACTGATGATGATGGCACGTCTCTAAGCTGGGATGCCCACTTGAATTGCTCGTGATTTTCAAAGTCCCAGGTTTACCACC